TAAAAATGCCATTGATTCATCAAATCAAGACATTATCATTTGTACATATGGTATTTGTTGGTGGCTATTTTTAGTAAGTATTATGTCATTTTGTATCTATTTTTAGCAACAAGCAAAGCAGAGTGAAGTACAAGTTCAGCAGATGCAGTCATTGCAGGAGGCAGCCAACCAGCAAAGAGCACTACTACTCATGAGCCGGTGAGATACATGTACATGTATGTACATGTACAATAAATTATTACTATTATTATTATTACAGTACGTCCTCGATTATCCATACTTCTTTTATCCAAACCCTCATTTATCTGAACGCATGGCTGTCTCTAATGCGCATGCTCAGACTAGTTAATTAATTAATAACCTGTTAAAATGGCTACTACAGCAAGGAGCTTAAACAAGAGAAAAACCTTTAAAGAGAAGCCTGAGATGCTTTGCAAGTTAAAGAAAGAAAAGTCATGCACATTTCTGTGAAAGAAGTATGGGATAGGTCGGTCTACTGTATTCTGTGCTGCATTTTGCTTACCGTATAGTGGGAAAAGTTGGCAGCGCTTTATTTTGGTGATTTTGCTGTAAAAATTAATTGGCGGTTTTTAATTTGGCAATTTTTGTGTTCACATGCATTACTGAGCATGCTCATTAATGATTGGTGGTTTTAATATTGGCGATTCTGCTTGCAAACTGCCAATTGCCAAAATAAAACTCTGCAAACTTTTCCCGCTATGTGGTATTCTAAAAGTACACAAAGGTGTTCAGATAATGGAGGACGTACTATATTATTATTAATTATTATTAAATTATTACTAATAAATACTAATAAAATTAATTCGTTCCTTCTTTTTTATTATAGGTTAATATACCAGACAATGTCACTGAGAGATATTCTCATTCTCTCTCAGTTTGGAGTGTGCTCCAACCACTAACTGGATAATTGTGTTTGGAGGAAAGAGGAACTTTTCAACAATCATAAGTGATCCAGCAGTTATTGAACTCAGTGAGTACATGTACATGTAGATTTGCTTATTAACTAACTCAAATAATTGATTATAATAATATTGTGTTACTGAATAGGATATACTAGTAATAATGATTGGTCTACTAGTATAATACCTCTGGACCAGTATCAAGAGAAACTACAAGAAAGGAGAAGAGAATGGGAAGCATCTCAACCTGTTCAACCTGAGGATAGAAGAGAAATAGACCGTCTGACACGTGTACTACAAGAAAGGGAAAGGGAACTACAGGAGGAGAGAAGAGAATCTCACTGAACGTTGTCTGCTACAGACAAACAGCATTCAGCAATATCTGTAAAATAATTATTTCAACATGTACTATTATTGGTATTACAATTTTATTTTTGATCATAATGCATTATGGCAATGTTAATGCAAACCTTGAGAATATGACGTCATAGAAGGGCGTTACCACCAAACAAAATGGCAGCCAAAGCACCAGGTCAGTATTTTGTTTATACTTGATTATGACTCGTGTGTTGTTACCATTAGTCTATCATTCAGTTACTGTTACCTCTTGTTATCTATAGACTATCAACCAGTGAAGAGGAGGGGACACTCCACTGTACGGGTAGGAGACTACCTGTACATGTGGGGTGGGGACCAGCCTGATCTCCCTGAAGTGCATGATAATGAAAAGAAGAAATCAATGTGTTCTGTGATGGAGGTGTGTCACCTAAGGACTGGTAGGTGGGAGCAGAAACCCACCACTGGTAACCCTCCACTGGGTGTTAGGGGCTATGCAGCTGCTGCCATTGGAAGGGAAATATTTTATTTCGGAGGATATTGTAATCATGATGTCTGTTATCATAATAGTTTATACAGGTAAACATAATAGTTACTGATAAATATTATATATTTTATACAGTTTTAATGTTGATACCTTCAAATGGAAGGAACTCTCTCCTACTACATCTCATCATGGTCCTATGATGAAGCACCACTGTGACATGATAGCAATAAAAGTGAACGGTGAGGACTATCTTGTAGTAATTGGAGGATATGGACCATCTTCTAATAATATACCCAAACAACCTGGTGCCCAGTACAGTGAAGGATTAATTCCTGGCAATCAACAATGTAATGAGATCCATTTCTATAAACTCTCAACAGGTCAGAGCACATACAGTTTATATTAATATAATGAAGTATTGTTATTTGGTGGTTCTCCTCTCAGACTGGTTGCATTGAGAATTGCTTGCTTGTTTGTTCATGGTTGTCACTCCTAATTATTTGATAATATGATCAAAGAAATATCAACTAGTTTGCTCCACCCAATGCATCCATCA